TGCGTGATACAATGCATTTACCGCTTGTTTGAACGGGCCTTCGGGTCGATTGGAGGTTCGTTGTCGGAGTCTGACAGGTCTTGGATGGGTTGGAAAACACCTGTCATCAGTCCTGTAAAGAAACAGACCAGAGTTGAGAGCACAAAACACCTGCAGTGAAACACCTGCAGAATGTGTATAGCAGGGAAGTTACGGCGCACATGTGAAACATACCGAGCAAGCCGCAAATAAGGGCTAGGCTATGATTGCTGGCCATTCTTGTCAAACAAATGGCGCGGCAAGCAGCTTATTGTTATATGGTGTTGGGGCTCCTTTTCTGATAGCCGGAGAAGCAATTGAAAACAAAAAATGCAAGTATCATCGATCCTCGCAAACATTTTCCTTTCCCGAACTGCCAGCTATGTGTTCATGTCATCTACGAGATCTTTGTCCAAGAGGACGGGGGAAGCTTCATGGACGCAGTGAGCCAAAGCTTGGGTTTGACCCCCACAATGCGGAAGGACGTCCCGGTCTGAAGAGAAACCTGAGTTCAGGGCGTCGGAGTCACATCATCTAAACATGGAAAGTAACCCTTAGCTTCCGAGAAGCTTTGTTTTCTATCTGCCAGCTAGTTTTTTTGGCTCCCACCCTCCTGGAAGCCAGTTTCGGAAGCCCATTTTTTTGACTGCCAGCTGGTTTTTTTGTCTGGCAGCTTGTTTTTTTAGCTTCTGAAAACTGTCTGCCAGCTACTTTTTTTAGCTTCTGACAAAAAAACAAGCTTCCAGTATTTTTTAATGTTAGCACTCCAGAAGCCAAAATTTTTGGCTTCTAGAAGCTTGTTTTTTGGCTTCTAGAAGCTTGTTTTTTTGGCTTCTAGAAATTTGGTTTTTGGCTTCTAGAAGCTTGTTTTTTTAGCTTCTGGAAATGGTAGCTCATTAACAAACTAAAAAGAATATATATATATATATAGATATATATTTACTAACCATGTCATCAACCTAGCCCAAGCTCAAGAGCATAGATCTTTTTGGAAATGGCTCGTCTTTTGCCAGTGGAGCAGACCAAAGGCGATGGAAGAATGACAAAAATTGGTTGGCCTCATCTCTGGCTTTGTGCCGGATTGTAGCTTGGCAGATTTTCCCCTTGAGCCAGACATGGCTATTTCAAAGCAAGCAACCTTTTTGTCTGTCTGGTTTGCTGAAAAGCCCACTAAGCCTGAAGCAAGGCTCTCTTTCCAAATTGCTTGCCCTAAAATGTCAAATTTGGACAGAGGTGAGATCGTTCAGCACTTGGTGCAATACAAGAGATGGCTGACCAAAAAAGCTAAAAATATGAAAAATGGAGAGAAGACAAGCCCTGCAGTCCTCCAAGTGATGAAAGCCATGGGCTTGGCACCCATCGCCAGTGAACCCCAGCCTCAGCCTGAAAGAAGGCTAAAAAGAAAAACACACATGCCATCTGATTCTCTTATGGCCCCTGACCCAGCAATGGCTGCAATTCAAAAGCAAGACCCCCAGCCTGAAAATTACAAGGCAACAATTCAAAAGCAAGACTCCCAGCCTGGAAAGGCTCCAGCCACCAAATCAAACATTTTAATGCCTCAAGCAGCACAAAGTCCAAGGTGGAGAGCGAAAGCTCAGGCAGTGAAGAAAAGGAAGCTTTTGTGGTCAGCACACAGGAAGTTTCTTCCACTTCATCTGGTATAGTGACCCCTCAAAAGCTGAAACCCAACAATGGGAAGAATTGCAGCTACAAAAGGCCTGCCAGCTGCATGACCCCCCAAAAAAAGCCAGCAATGGCTCCCAAGACTGCAAAAGTTACCAAGCCTGCAAAGCATGTGCACATGGCAACCCACAACACATGGGTAGCAAGCTGCAGCTTTGGCTAGGTCAAAAAGGGCAACTTCAAGGAGAAGGGCTACATCCGAGCCAGGGATGGCTCTGAATCCAAACCGTATTTTTTGGTGAATGTCAATTTACCAAAAGGAGCCCCTGATGTTTCATGGCAGGGCTTCTGCCAAAAGAAGAGCTCAAAGAAGAGAGTTGGAAAGGAAAGGTGAAGAAGTCCCTGAGGAGTTAAAGCCCAGGGTCCACAGTCTGAATAAGGCTCTCAAGAGGCAAATGTATGAATTGCATCGCAAAGCCAGGGAAATGGCCCAAGAAAAAGATCCAGCAAAGTTGGATGAATGGGAAAAGCAACAAGCAGACCGGCTAGCCATTGTTGCTAGGGAAGATGCAGAGAGGAGGGCCCAAGAGGCTTCCTCTGCCGAGGGGGGCACAAGAAAGAGCAAGGCTTCCAGCGCCAGTGATGGCAATGGCAGGGAGAGGTCGAAGAGTGTGGGGACAAGGTTAGGCAAAGATGGGAAACCAAGATGTGAGCACATGCCAGCAGATGGCACCCTCATTCAAGGTGGGGATGAGGAGGGGGAGGAGGATGAAGAAGATGATGGTGATGGAGTGCCTGATCAAGGCAAAAAGAAAAAGAACAGGAGGAGAAGCAAAACAGCCAGAGGGAAGAAGCAGCCAAAGGAAGAAAAGCCAGACAATGGCTCTCAGGAAAAGGATCCTAGTGGTGGAAAAGATGGTGATACTGGAGGTGCAGGGGCAGCAGAACCAGTTGCTGCTCCTTAAATGCCAGCAATGGCAACTTGCCAGCAATGGCACCCTGCCTGAAAAGGCATTCTACCAGCACTGCAGCTGAGAGTTTTTGGAAAAAAAAGGTGCGCCTGCCTGCTTTCAGTGGTACTTCAAAAGGGATGTAAAAAAGGAACTTTTGGAACTTTTGGACTATGGAACTTTTGGAACTTTCTCTTCCTAGATATTGTTTTCTTATATAAATCAAAAATTCCAAAAGTTCCGAAAGTTCCAAAAAGTTCCTGGTCACATTTTTCAACCCCACCCAAAAAAATCTGCAGCCATTTTTCTGACCTCAAGCTTTAAACAACTGGCCAGTGTCTGTAGCTAGATGGCAAAAAGAAAGGCTCCCGATGTGAAGGTGGAGCCACCAACCCCCAAGAAGAAAGCAATGGCAAAAGCAAAAGCAAAAGCCAGTGGCTCTGCCATTCCAGAGGCAACTCCTTCTGTAGCCTCTGAGGCAGCAGCTATGGAAGCCCCAAGTACTGAATCCAAGCCTGCAAAGGCTAGAGCAGTGAAGGATGGGGAGTTGCCTGCTCCTTCAAAAGATGCTTGGAAGGACATGCACCAGCAACTTGCCAGGAAAGCCAAGGCTGGAGACACAGCCCTCAAGACTGCCTGGGACAAGGCATGTGCCAATGGAAGCCAACAAGCCAAAAGAGAGTTTTACTACAACACTTTCCTTCTGGATGAATCTGCAGCCAGTCGCAGTGTACACAAACAAAGCCTGGAAAGGCTCAAAAGGACTGACAAAGTCATCGATGGTTAAGTACCAGATAGCCAAGTTGCAGGGTGCTGACCCACAAGACCCAGACTTCAACAAGCTGGCAGAAGCTGCAGTGCTGGGGTTGCCTGAGAGACCTCATGAGGTCAAAGCTTGGGCAGAGTGCCTGTACATGAATCAATCCGCATTAGATGTTTGGTCCATGAATTTGCCATGCAGCCCAGCTTTCTCAGCTATGAGGATTCCTATCTGCTGCCTCGATACCAGAATGATAGCAGCAGAAACAATCCAAGCAATATGTGGAATTTTGTTTTGGAGCTTCGATTGCCTGAACAAAGGCACTTTTCCCACAGCCAGACATGATGGCTCACCCTGGCTGAAGCATGATGCCTACAGAAAATTTAGGGCAGGCGCAGCTCTGCCTGGGAAGGCAACCCTCATCCAAATTCGATCCGATTGGGATTGGAATTGTAAATACTTTGGAGCAGGCACTTGGAATGAGAAGAAAGGGAATTGCTGGCTGTGCCAAGCCACTCCAGACAACTGGAGGTAAATGAGCCAGAGCATGGCTAGGTTGGAGAAAACCATGGACAAGGATGCCTACTTGACTTTCCTCATGGATCGAGGTAAGTCAATCAATCCTTTGTTTCAATTGCCCAATGTCAGTAATGGCACCATCATGCCAGATTGGATGCATGTTTGTGATGAGGGCAGTTTTGCTGTGGCAGCAGGGCAAATTCTGAAAGAATTACGGCCATCTTTTCCAGGCACTTCTCAAGATGAAAGATGTGCCAATCTCTGGCAAGAGATTCAAAAATGTATGAAGAAAGAGATTTTCCAGGCTGCAAAAGGCTCAAGAAGTTGACTGTCAAGGATATAGTCAAACCAAAGAAAGCTCAGTTTTGGATTGCAAGGCCCATGAAGTCAGGGATTTTTGCCCCCCTTCTCGAACCATTGTGCAAAAGACAATGCCTGCATGAAGGCACCTGGCATGAGAAAGCTGTCTACAAAGTGGCCAAGTACTGCAGCCATATGTACAACAGTTTAGAAGCCTCCAACAAACAAGAACTGGTGAAGGCTGGAAGAAAATTCATCAGCCAGTACATGGCTTTAGAAGCAGAAGTCCAAGCCAGTGATGGCTCAGAGGTTCGATTGTGGAGATCAAAGCCCAAGCTCCACCTCTTGGCCCACATTTTGGATTTGGTTGAGCTTGGTAACCGTCCAAAAGACAGCTGGAATTATAAGGATGAAACATTTGCAGGGTCACTGCAAACTTTATTTTTTCGCAGAGGTGGTAAATTCCAGCCTGGCAAGGCTTCTGAAAAGGTCTTGCTGAGGTGGATGTCAGCCACTCCATTCCCTCATCTTGGACAAGCCAAGGCAGCAATGGCTAAATGAAATAGACAAAAGAGTGATGCAGCGCATAAATGTATCATGATGTTATATAAATATATAAGAATATCTATAGATATACATTTCCAGAAGCTATATTTTTTGACTTCTAGAAGCCTCTTTTTTTGGCTTCTAGAAGCCTCTTTTTTGGATTTCTAGAAGCCTTTTTTTTGGCTTCCAGAGGCTTCTAACATAAAAAACCTGGAAGCCAAAAAAACAGGCTGGCAGACAACTTTTTGGAGCAATGAAAAAAAAAGGTAGCTTCTCGGAAGCTAAGGGAAGGATGAAGCAGTCAGCAACGATGACAAACTGGGGAAATACAAGCAAGTGGTTTGCATGACGTAAAGGCCACTAGCTTTGACACCGCATGGAAAGCAAGAGGCGCTGCACAAATAAAAGCAACAACGACGCTTGGAACTAAGTTCACACAGAGCAACCTCCCAGACAACGCTCACAACATCACTCTTGGGGAGCTTGTCAAAATTGCCGAGCCATGCTGCGCCGATGGAGCCATGCCTCCACTTCGGCAAAAAGGACTTGCATTCTGACAGCCAACATCGACTTCGAACCCTGTTGGACAGCTGATCGCTCTCACTGTCTCTTCACACCAAACCTTACCTTCACCAGACCAACAAATGGCTCAGAACATACCTCCGCTTGCCTTGCAGCCTCGGGATTGGTCAACGCGTTGGGTTTGTAGACATTGGCTTTCCCATTGCGCGCCGGACTGATGATGAACCTGTATGGCACTGGAACGGGCTCTGCTCCTTCAGAGGCCTCGATTGCTGGCAGCTATAAATTACTACACACTGCAGCATCAACGCGCGGGTGGAAATCAAAATCCGCAGCACTAGCCAAGCCACTGGTGGATACATTTTCTGCTGCGCATCGTGATTTGCCAACTCGAAATTCGCGATTCCATGCACCGTGCAGCACTCGTGCGCAAATTGGCACAAACTGGTAAGCCGCCGCTCCGTACACACAAGCGTAAGGTCTGATGGAAACCGGAAACAAATCCCCGAAAGCTCAGATTCCCCCAATCCTCAGGGCACGGGCAACTGCTGGTTAGTCGGCAGGGTGGGCTTCCAAAACTTAATAAGAGAAATGATCGCCAAACAAAACGAGGGGCCGGCTCCTCCTTCTCTTCGAATGTGCCCAGATTGAACCCACAGAGCTCCGACGCAGGCAATGATATCTCCTCGGTAGTTTCGTTGCCGATGTACAAAGAGAAGTCGGATCCCACGATGATCGCTGGTTTGGTGCGATTCCCTGCGCAGTACGCTTTCCTGCCACACCCAAACACTGACAGACTGTTTTTTTAAGCCAACTAGACAGCCGGATGCATCCAACTTAAACCCCGCCGCACAAACATGATTGCAAAGAAGATATGCCGCGCCTCTCCACAGTGAAAGAGCTGGCTGGGATGTGCTCCTTCTCAACTTCCCTGGCGTAGTCAATCGGACTCTTGCCGCCGTCAATCGAAAAGTCAGGCCTTCCAGTAGCTCGCCTCGGCGTTCTACCAGTGCCGGTGGCTTGAGTGGGCGTTGCCTCGACTGAATCTGGGAACTCTTCAGCCAACCGCTTCTTGAGCTCCAGCATCTGCGCATGAGCGTCTGAACCTTCCGCAAACTTTCGCAAGACACTTTCGGGGAAGGATGCTCTGTTGTTGCGCCACGTCAGCAAGCTGAACGTTGGATCCGGCTTGGGGTCAACTGGGCGAGACCTGGCAGGAGCTGAGTTTGAGGAATCCCAGTGTGTGTAGACCGCCTCCTCCAACTGGCTTGTAACATCCTTCTGGTCTGCCCGGAAATGCCCACAATATCGAATCTCTGGGTGGGGAGTGGTCCCATCCAGCATACGCTTGATAGCAGCCCTCGCAAACTCTGCCTGCCTGCGGGCGACAGTTTTCATCGCTGGTGTAAAAAGTCTTTCTCGCAAAATGGAACCCCAAACCATGTGAAAAAAAACATGTAAGAACACAGCGCCACTAGTTTCCAACTCCGAAGCCTGTTCGGCAAAAGGTCTACCAAGACCACAATGTCATGCTCTGCAATGGGCATCCCACGTACATACTCTGCGATGACCCCCACGTGCGCAGGAACACCTTTCCTTGCATCAGAACACAAAAACGCACGTACTGTAGAGAAAATTGTGTGATTTTTCCATGGAGCGACAAAGATGTGACTTGACCCAACTTCGACGAGAAGCTGCTCAGTTCTCTGTGATGCAGAGGACCGTGCCTCTGAGTCAAAGCCCAGCATATCTGCTACCCGGATCAACGGGCAGGGTCCTATGCACCGGTTCTGCGCTACCGCACTGTCAAACCATGCGTTGTTCTCGTGGGCTGTAGCTGTCACCAGCAAGCACGGGTGCCACGGATCGCGTTTGTCTCCAGCAGGTAGGCTTCCCTTGTCAAAGATCAAAGACACTGGCCGCATGATGTCAAGGCCGTTCGCAACCAAAGAGTCTTCCAGAGTTCTTCGATGCTTGACGACCGCGGCTTGGTGAGTCTGCGCTTGGAGCACAGGAATCTGCAAATGTCCTGCGTACTTTGGCGATGATGCCAGCAAAGAATTGAAAGCCGTGAGGCAAGCGTGCAAATAAGCTGAGTTGCTCGGCCAAACGCAGGTGTCTACCAATGCCAAGACATACCTTGTTCGGCCAAATATGACTGCTCCAGGGACCAAAGCACGTACCACTCACCTAAAAATCAAAAAAGTTGACCAAAACAAAAATGGAAACCTGAAAAGGCCAGGGGGCACCTGACCTTGAATCTCTGATTGAACTTTGGCAATGTATTGAGCTACGTCTGGGAACATTGGTGGGTAAGCCCCTTTCAGCTCCACTGCTGGGGGAAGAGTGAAGATCTTGCAATGCTTCTCCATGAAATCCTTCGTGTGGGATTGCCCTTTCCTTGATCAAGGTTTGACTGCTAAACAGCGTTGACAACTCTCAATTTTTTACGGGATCTACCGAGGACAAGAAGAAGAATTCACTTTCAGACGGGCAAAATGTTGAGCAAGTATGAACTCACAGTATCAGCTGGCGCTGAGCCAAGTATTTTGCATCCAAGGCTGCCTCCTTAGCGGCCGACTCAGCGGCTGGAGTATGATCTTTCAAGATCTTCAGGTCCGCCTCGAACTTGAACGCAATCTGATCCACTGTCGCTTTGGCAACCTTCTCTTCGTGCGCGCGGGCCATTTCTTCGTTCGCTCGCTGGGTGCGAACAGCAACAGCAGACACAATGTTCCTGCCACCGCTGCAACAGAAGCACGACTGGAACAAAGAACGGTAACGAACAAACACGCATTGAGTTGATTGGCCTATGAGGGTCATTGGTTAGACAGATCGACTTCTGGAACCCTGTCCTCACGAAGTTGACTTCAGCCAGGTTTACAGGTGGGACTGTCGTCTCTAAGAAGAAGTTGATGTCAGGGTCCAAATAGCCCAGATGGAACTGGTCATGGATCTGTCCTTGATGTGTCTCGTAGTCCATCTGAGGAACAGCCGCCTTCAGCGCATTCATAATGGCCAAGAAGCCTCCGCATGCTGAATGCACTGACAAAGCCTCCTTGAAGTTCCACGGCTTTTTCAAGCCCAGGGGCAGTCGGTCCCAATCAGCTTTAAGCCGCTCGATGAACAAACTGCCCTTGGCGTGGCACACCCGGTGCTCCCCACAGAACTGCGCAATGAATGGCAAAAAAGAATAGGACGAAGGCTTAGGGTGGAAGCAACAAGCAGGGACAAGACACGAGCGCGGTAAGTGTTTTTCAGAACCCCCACCACTGTGACAGTATAAGTCGAAGTTGGGAGAGGATAGCTCGCAATCTTCTCTGAACCCGGCAGGTTTAGAGGGCCGGTCTAAAGGAGGATCAAAAAATCTTCCATCATACTGAGTAGCACAAGCCCAGTGGCTGAAGTTCAAGGGGTTGCCTCACGTTTTAAGTTTAAGTCTTCCTCTTGGATTGGCCAGATGCCGGTCCGTGATGCAAATCAGCACAAATCAGGGCCTAAATTTAGCCCCTGACTTGCATCGATTTTGAGTCAGCGCTTCTTGCAACCAAAGTAGTTACGGCTATTGTTGTATCAACTCCTAAATTTCCACTTGGATTGGCCTGCGAAAAAAGACCCCCCGCAAGTCCGACTTCCCCCTTCAAAACCTGCATTTGGGGTCTTTTTTCGCAGGCCAGTCCAAGTGGAAAATTGCTAGTAACAACAAATTCCCGTTTCCGACGCCAAAGTTAGCTAGCTTTTCGACACGAGCGTGCAAGGTTCACTTAAAGTGTCTTCTGCCGCCCAAGATCCGAAATTCACCACTGCGCTTAAAGTTTTTCTGTGAACCACAACAAGGGGCACCATGGCTCTACCCCACGGATCATGGCCTGAAACTCAACTACATGTAATAGTTTTGGACAACAAAGCTATACCGGATTATACTGTAACAAAAGTTCCTCAAGTCACCAGCGATTTGTTGTCTTCTAAGCTTCACCGAGCTTCCAAGACATCATCCCGGTTGTTTGACAGATCCACGCACCACGCAATCAATGCACCACTCTGGCCGCTGCTGTACCCTGTGTTGAACATGTCTTTGCTCAACACATCGTGAGTCAGAAACTGCCTCATTCCTCTGCACCGGGTGGCCTCCTTCAGAAGGTCGACCAACTTTGGGCTAATTTTGTCTTGTAGGTTGGAGATCGCAGTCGCCTCCGACTTGCCGATGTTGAACGCTCGGGCTACCTGAGTAGCACTGTGCCAATCCTTGACAGAACAGCAAAGATTACGGTTGTGCGAAAGGTGTGTTGAGCACTGTTTGGGACATGTGCTTTGACTAAAACCCAGCACCCACAATCCTCACACACACACACACCCGTTTTGTGGCTTCTACTCGACTAAGCACTCTTGAGCAAGCACTCCTGGAAGTCTCCGCCATCTCCGCTCTTCTTGAGCACTTCTAGTTGGCGCAGGAAGTTCATCGCGTTTGGAGCGCGACGTGTGGAGACGTGGGACATAGTTATGCCTTACGGTCTTGTCCAGGCAAGCATAGCGCTTGGAATGAGAAAACCTCAACCCATTATCCATCCGCAAATTTTCCAAAACATGAATACAAGGGGGTTTGGGGGCACGAACTTTCCATTTGGAGCGGCCTCCAAAATCTGACCTCCGCCCCCTCCCCACACACATCCAATGGTAGCGTGGGCCGTGGGTGTTGCCCTACTTGCAGGGTCATCTTTGCAGTCCGGCCCAAAGCAGAAAATTTGCAGTGATGCTTTGTATGGCTAACAAAGAAGAAAAACATGGCTAACAAAAGCACGGCGCCACGGGATGCCCACACAGCATCCTTCGTCGTCTTGAAAGTGCCAACTGTTCCATGGACCACCTTGAGGGAAACCTGCATAGTTGTTCAATTCAAATGACGATATACAAGAAAACCGTTCTTGATTCCTGGCTGACAGGCGAGGGAATTCCAAAGTAACTCGTTCTGGCCTGGCCTTAAAGTTTTCAGTGAGTTCGGCAATGTCCACTCCAAGAGCCCGAACCCCCCTCGCAACAAATCAGGCAAGCCAGAGCTCTCCTCCAGCCCTTGACATACGCCACTGAAAATGGCCGAAGCGTGTAGCAGCCTGCCAGCCAAGAAAACAATTCAGGGCGCCGCCAAAATCAGGTCTTTAAGGCACAAGAGGTCTGAAGGGAAAGCTGGGGCCAAAGCCGTCACCACTCTCCAGCTGTGGCAGGGGGGCATACTTCTGCTCCAACCATGCGTCTGTCGGAGGCCAAACACTCAGTTTCTCTGCCCCTGGCTCGTCTGGGTTTGTTCTAAACCTGAGTTCTGCTCCATCCGCTTAATTAAAGAAAGAATGCAAAAAAAAAGTGCAAAAACGCAGGACATTGGCAATTCTTTGTTGCAAGCAACCCTTCAACGAGCACCAACTCCATAAGTGTTGTCATGTCGAATGGGTCTGCAAAGCCTGGCAGGCCAAAATCTGTCCTGAAACCTAGGTGCCACGGACGCAAGAGTTTGCCCCCAGGGTTCATGTCCTCGCTGTATGTGGTCCTGAAGGGGAGCGCTTGAGTCAGCGCAAAAAAAATTATTCACATTGCGCAGAAAATGATGGTGGAGCATTACCTGCCTTGAGGATGCTGGAAATGTGCTGTCCAGCCACCTGGCAAAATCCAGCATCTCGTCCTGGAAGGCAAACTTTCAACCAAACAAACAAAACTGACTTTTAGGACCCAAACACAGAGAACTGCAATCTGTACTTGCTCATCAAATACCGATCTGGTCCCCCCTGCGGCACCACGATCGATTGGAACCTGAGCCGTGCCAATCATTTGTGTTTTGTGTCAGGGTTATGCACTCAGCACTCACTGAAAGAAAACAAGTAGCACAGAATACACACAAGTGCAACCTATTGACCATTCTGTGATCCGCCGCACATGCGGAAACTTGTCCGTGTCAACCCCGCTTTTGGAGTTTTTTGCACCCTTCGCTTTGGCCGACGCGCTCCCTGTGGAGGGGCGCTTGCCCATGGCGCTGGCAAAACCAGCCCCCTTCAAAAAGGTACAGAAGTTCCGCCCTACCCTCGGTCTGTCAAGCTGGCTGCAAAACGTGACCCAAGAGTAATGAAAGGCAGCGAAGCAATTCCAAGGCAAGAAGGTTGCTGACAAAAAATAACAAGTTAACAGCTGCACTCCACACAGACGGCCAAGTTTTCCTGAGACAGTTGAGTTTAGATCTGCGCTGTATACCGGCCAGCCACAAACGGGTGCGTCTGAGAAACCTTGGGGCAGCGGTTCAACTCCCAGAACACGCCGACAGGTCTGCGTTCAAAAGGGTGCTGGTGGTTGATGCTATTTTTTCACTGAGTCCCAACCACTCAGGCCAACGCCAACAATAATTGCACTATACCCCACGGCCGCCTGCGCCAGGAAACAGGAAACATCTCTTTTGACTTGGTTGGAAAACCCACACCAGCCTTGAAAGTAAAGACATCCCAACCAATTTCAACGCTGAACCTTGGCTTGAAAATCTGCACTACAGAAATCAGACTCAAAACAGGGCATCCACCAGAAGACCATTTTGAGTCTAAAGCGACCTCGCTTTAGACTCAAATAGCCTTAGATTTTTGTTGAACAATGTGACCAGGAATGGCAAAACACGATCCTGAAATTTCGGGGGGCTGTTTGCGTCAGAAGTGACCTCACATCCGACGCAAAACCTACAGCCCTGTGGCAGCCCTATTCGAGTCGGATCTGACCTCATATCCGACGCAAAGGTTTGATTTGACCACACCGCTTCCCGATCCTGCTTTGCGTCGGATCCGACCTCAGATCCGACACACGTGGCTCAGGCAATGATAACAAAGTGTCGGATCCGCTCTGGATCCAACTCAAGCTCCATACTCTGCGCACCGGGTCGAAGCTCTTACAACACCTCATGCTTGGGCCTGTTCGGTCCAATGTGAAGCCTGCTGGAGTTTTGAGTCCAAAGTGAGGTCGCTTTGGACTCACAAGCCTTCAATAGAGAATCTCAAGATAGACTTTTTGGGCCATCTTGGACCACGAAGCCCCCCTAAACCGTAATGCCGCACCCAAATTTTCTGACCTTCTTGAGCGCTGTTTCGCGTTTTGGGTGAGACGGTGTGAAATCTTGGCATTTTACCATGCTGTTTGCCGTTTGCGATGGACATGTTTACATGTTTGAACAGCTTCGCTTAAACCTGTTCACAATCTAACCTGACTCAATGACCTCAAACCTGGTCCAACTACGTCACGGCCGTGGCCTTCTCTTCGGAAGTGCTTTGGCTGCTGCGTCAGCCTTGCTGATAGCAGCCCGGCTAATTTTCAATGCTTCAGCCCACGGGACGCCTCTGGCCCAGGCGCGAGCCGCAGACTCCAGCACAATCCTCTTGCGAGCGCAACCCACATAATGCAGGACTTGATTTTGAGCCTTTCGATCGCCACTTGGCTTCCCCAACCTGATCTTTACCAGTCTCAGAACAAAAGGTGTTGCGCAGGTTCCAGGTTGAATCCGGTGGAATCTGCGAAACTCAAGCTAGCAGCACACATTGGCTAGAAACTTACAAATGGTTTGACGTGCGGGGTCCACGACGTTGGTCATCTTCCAAACTCACCACCTACGAACAATGCAAAAACACGCCACGTAGCCGAAGTTCGCTGGGAAGAGGCTCCAAATCTTGAGCTCTTGGAGCATCGCGATCGCTGTGGCCACCATGGAAGGCAACCCTAAGCAGCGCCCAATCACAAACAGATTTCAACAAAACGCGGTGCCTAGCCTAACACCGGGCAAATGGTTTCATCAAAGCAAGCCGATAGTAGCAGCAAAGCGTCGCACGGACTTCCAACAATGGTTCCAAAGGCATGCTGCCGTTCGACCAAGCAAGCAAATAGTCAGCAGCGGCGTTCAAACCCAAATTCCTCATAGCTGGTATGTGTTTGGCCAAATCCTTTTTGAACTCGTCAGTGATCGGGTTGAGGGGTGCAATTCCTGCTGGGCGAACAAGCAATTTCGCAACTTTCCTGTTTCCAAGAACGCTTTTTCTTAGATACACTATCTTTGGTCCTGCTGGGAGTCCAAGAGGCAAACGGACTTTGGCTACCGCGTACGGATAGTAAAGGCCGAAATAGGTGTAGCTGTCATCTGCCATGTTGTGTCTGGTCCTGGGTTAGGGATGAACCTTCAAGAGCAAAGGGCGCACATGTCTTTTGCGACCTCTCAAACTGTCCGGGGATGGCATGCAGCCCCGTCTCCGTATCAGAACATCGTTTGGGTGATGCGGCAGTTGCCAAAACCGATCTGCAGCTCCATCTGCTATTGCTCCTGACGAATTGGAAGATCTGCTTTGTACAGGGCCCACTGAACAAATTTTATGGAAAGATCCGTTCACAGCAAATGACAAACAAAACTGCAAGGTCTCCTAAGCTCTCTCGCCTGTCCATCTCAAAAACATGTGGCGCGCGGGCGCCTCCAATGCCTGTTAACTGAACAGGCACACCAACGCTGAGGAAGGCCCGCCTGACATCGCCGCAACATCCGCAAGGACTATCAATTAAGCAGCACATATTACATATGATTCTGTTGTAATTTTATGTCTCATATCACTCATATATATATATATATCACAAACCAGCGCGTCAAACCTGAAAGTCGGAAAACACATGGCTTAATAGAAGTGTCAGGCGACCAGTCACGAAACTGGTCCAAGATCACCGCATACCTTGCCGGCTCGTAAGGTCGGTCCAATTGCGTATCCATCCATCGTTGGATAATGTCATGAAATTCGTGTGGGCCAGTGGCTGTGCGTCCGTGTTTGCTTATGTATGATGCCAACCTGCCAAACAGTTGGTCAATGTCCTCGTGCGAGTGTCCGGCCCGTAAATGACGGAGCCGGACACCCGCAACCACGCCTTGAATGTTAGAACGCTGCTATGCTACTTGAAATCTTTCATGGCCACAAAGCAAATAGGAAAAGGTTATTGAGGAAAGTCAAGCGAGATACGGTGAACCACTAGGCTGGCCATGAACCGGAGGACATGGTTGTTCTTGACTTCACGAGGAGTATTGTCGCTTTGTATGTGCACAGTGCACTTGCTCAACTCAATCTCTTTTGAAAGGAGGTGTAGGCAGTGAGCAATTGTTTCAATAGATGCGTTGGCGTCCTTCGGGACGTTGGCCGGGCTGATCGTGAAAAGGACAAACCTTCCATGGCATATGCATCCAGCGATATGAGCACGGGGGCGGTTGAATCCCTGGACATCTTTGGATGCAAACAAATTGCTCCGAGGATAGCAAAATTTTGCCTGGTCCATACCATCGACTATGAGGAGGGCGTCATACGCAGTCCTGAGTCTACTTTGCCCACGTAATTCCCAATAGCGGATCCGATCCGCATATTGGGAGCGTAAATGAAGGACATACTGGTTCACTTGCTCCTGCCGTGCCTTGATGTGCCCAGTAAAGCCTTTGATTAACAATTTGTGTCGAAGGCATGTCCCGCATTGTCCATGGGAAGATGTAGGGCGAAATTTCAAAAATGGAAACTCTTGGTGCCAGATTCGCCAGAATGTGCTGAACGCAACATGCTTCTCACCATAAGCCAAAACCTCGGAGCATTTCATTTGCTCCCAAAAGTCACGGATATGTCCTGGAGGTAGATACCGATCTTCTTGGGCGTGCTTCCGCACAGTGTTCAACTCGATCGACTGTTTCCGTGTCCTAACTTTGGGCTTTGGTTTCAGTTTCACGCCCTGCTCCACACGAGACTTACTTTCAGAAGGTGCGCTCATTGCTTTGACGTAAGGGTCCACAAGTTCTGGAACATCCACCATCACAGCGTCACTGTCAAATTCACAAGTCTCATCGCGGACGTCGGGGAGCGTCTCTGCAACTGATTCGTAAATACTTTGAAGGTAGCTTACCACACGCTGGCGACTTGTGTCAGTGCTTTTTTCAGCTTTGGAAGGAACCCCCTTCTTCAAATACCGCGTGTCTGCTGGTGGCAAAGTCTTGCCCTCACGCGCAGCCCGAATGAACCGACCAAATCTGCCAGATCCTTGATTTATGAACACGACAGAAGTTACACCAAGAAGAACCATTCAGAATCACCGGAGATTTGACACTAATTGAACCAGTTTGCCAAGCCACCCAAACCGTGAAGTCGCTTCCACGCAGCCACACAAACATCACGGCCAAGAAATGACCACTTCGTTTTGCACCCAGATTCCTCCCCCTTCTGAATGGCCTTCCGGATGGCCTCGAACACCTGGGCTCAAGTCAATGTTACAAAGCACGTTCGGGCCTCTCAAACAAAAAAATTGGCTAAGGGAGCACAGCACCGCAAGAAATATTGACCCAACCAACATCGGGCAACAATTTACTGCATTATGGCGCACAACATTTCTGCCATCAGGATGCCTTTGGTGGAAAACTGCCAGTAGAAACGTTCAACAGAAAATTGAATTGAACACCAGACTTAGTTTCTTCATGGTCTTGATCAAGTTTATGCATCTCTGCCCATTGCTGTCGGAACTGTGATAGCTCTGAAAACTCAGAAGCCCCAGTGAACTGGCTCAAGCAACCACGAGCGCAGTGGCACTTTGGATTCCCTAGCATGGCGCGGAGTGAATCCACGCTCGACGAAGCCTGGGCAGTCGGTTCTGCAGACTTTCGCCTCCGCCGTTTCTGACCCCTGGCCGCCTGGCTTGGAGCTGCAGGGTCATTCTGAACAATTTCGTCTGACTCATCCGAGCTGAATGCGGTCACACTTGAGAAGGCGGTTGACATGCGGCAGCTCTTCTTGTCAAAGAGCCTATAGCAAATTCGATGTAAGTGTAGTAGGTTCCATCTCAACAACTCAACAATAAATGAAAAACATTGGACCAAAAGTTACATATAGATATGATTGATTCTGATACGTCAAGCAGCTACCGGATGGGTGACATTCGCCTGCTTACAAACAAAACTAGTCCACAACAAGTTGAGCCATCACTGCCAACAAGTAGATTGCTCAAGCAACCCCCAACTTTTCACAGGAACCACCTGGCGCTCATGCAGCTGAGGGCGGTGCGGTGAGGTTGCAAACAGGTCGACCTCTGCATCATTTTCACCAGTCATTCTCGTATGGGCTGTACCAATCACAGTGTGAATCGATTGAACGGAGAAAATGAGGAACATGAGCAAGACAAGAAGTGCACACTCGCTCTCAATCTAAGCTTTGAGCCAAGCAAAATAGTTGGGTTCAAGCTGTCAATCCTGGCGCAACGGCCAAAAAAAAATTTCTTCGCACAGTGCTCCGCACAAATGCTGGAAAATGCTGGGTCCTGAAGTGACCTGGCCTTCTTTGATCTTTTCGCTCCTCGCTTGGTTTCTGTGCGAGGTCGTAAACACACCCACTGAATGGCACCCTGCGGGTGCTCGTATGGAATTGGAACATCATAGGAGATTGGGTTGGCAAGCCTCCAGGCATGGATGCGTCTGTATTTCAACGACTGCAAAGTATCAGGATCGACTAAATGGTCGGGACGGTAGGTCTCAAACTGCGCACGCTCGATGGTGAAGGTATTGACGATCTCGACTTCGCCAACAACAAGTCCTGATCCTGATTTGATCAGTCCGACTCTCCCTCTTTTTGTTGTGTTTGTTGCACGGATTTCAAGCCGTTTCTCGCCAGACAAAATCAAGTCCAGCCACTTCCCTTTCACGATCAAGGCATGGTCCGGCAAAGGCATTCGGCGCGAAACCGCGTTAGAGAAACAATGGGGACGACGATGAGTTCGGACACAAAACTGTGGCTGCATTGGGGCCAAGAACCTAAGTGGCTGGCGTCGCTCAACCTAAATGCACTCCCTTTGACACACGGCCAAAGCACCAAACACTGGTCAATCTTTTCTTTCCCCTGCGAGACAAATGCAATTTGTCAAAGTTGAAGCCAGGCGCGCAATCATCCAAGACTATGCTTCTCTGGTCGTCAGATTGCAATAAAGACTTGAAAGTGACTGTAAGTCCTGACTCACTGACAGTCAGTCTGGCAGGTCTTGGACAGCTAAGAACGCAGCTCCGTCTCAATCGAACACCACGCAAACGCCTGGCCACTTGCTAGGACAAACCCAGCAGCGCAAGCCCACTAAGCCCCACCGTTCTAAGTTTAACTTTAAAATCTGAGTCCGTCAAGTACTTCCTGAAGATTGAGAAATCCTTTCTTGGTAATTAATGCCCAACTTGCGGGGCAGCACGCACAGCCTGAAACCTTGTCAGTACCTCTGGCGACGAAACAGCAAAATCAAAACTACAACGTTCTTCTGGTCAACACAATCGGCGAAAGCTTTCAGTGAGACGCACTCTGCATTGCTTGTCTGAGTCTGGCCTACTTTCATGGGGGGGTGTTTGTAAAACCATCCATGATCATGGCAGAAAGCATGCGCTTGAACGCCAACCAAACGAGCACGAAACATGTTGACGCAAAGAATGCGTTTGTCATTGTTTAGGTGAGCGCGTTACAAACCTAACCCAAAACAGGCAGGCCGGCGGCGCCAAAGCCTTCCAGCCGTTTGGCTGCCAAACCCCGTTTCTTGCGCGGGAGATGCTCACCTACAAAATTTAGGTGCGGCGCAGGCCTTGAATATCCCCGCTTAAAATAGCAAGAGGCTTGATTTGTCTGGGAATAAGAAGCAAACACAAAGAAATTGAGGCCGTGGCTCAGTTCGCATAGGTGACAATGTGCGGAGGGCGACACACTATCGTTCAATATAAAGGTCAAGTGAGGGCTGGGGCACGCTAGAAAACAGAACAACTGATTGGCAATGGAAACCGGAAAGGCCTCCAAAACCCACCTTGACCTACTTGCGTACGAATTAATGGTGCTGCAGGCTTGGCAATGAAACCAAACAGCACGATGAAATCGGTTTGCATTTGTTAAGCTTATTATGAAAGTTTCTATTATATACATACCATGAGAACGCCATGCTTGCTCAGCCCAGCTTTGTCAGCATTTCTGACAAAACACTGATGGCCTTCTTGGCTTGAAGCGGAACAACAATGTTACCCATGGCTTGGACTCTTTGGGCGTCCTCTTCTGACTCCTGACACTGAAGCCACTGATGAAGTGGAACTTGGCTGTGCTTGTTCCACGGGGCATCAAGGTCAATGCTGATGATCTCCACGCAGCATCCATCCTGCCAAGCTGGCATCAAGGCCATTGACCAATAACAGTCACAAAACAACCAGCACAACAACCAATCAACCGATCCGGGAACTTAAAGAGCGGGTTCGTCAGAAGGAGGAACACTCTCTTGCGACCAGCCTGGCAACGGGGCGACGACGGGCAAGTACTGGTGAGGGCGTTTGAATTCAAAACTAGGGTTGGGACAGACAGGCCAACCTCTCTGAGAGCAACCGTTGCCCATGTCACAACCATCCCACGCTTTTTGGCCTCCTGCACGCGATGCTCAAAAATGAAAAACCGAAACCATAAACTGCTAATTTTCCACTTGGATTGGCCTGTGAAAAAAGACCCCCACAAGTCCGGTTTTCCCCCTTCAAAACCTGCATTTCAAGCAGGTCGAACCGGACTTGTGGGGGTCTTTTTTTGGAGGCCAATCCAAGTGGAAAATTACAACCATAAACCCTTGAAATCTAGCAGCTACCGGTTGGCGCTTGTCCCTTCGAGCCGGGTAACAAAAAGGCTCCCCCAAGTCCTCACCAAAACATGAATCATGGAAATGGACCCCCCCCCAAGTCCCATTTGGAAAATTCCCACACTAGCAGTGGCCTTGGCGATGTAGGCGAAGAGTTTGCGAGTGGCTTTCTGGCACGAAAGCAAGGCGCCAACATTCTCAAGAAGCATGCCACACCTGGCCAAACATTGTGAACGGCACTGCGACCCGTCATTAAGAGTGGAGGATTCTCAGCCCGCGACGGGCGGCGAAGGCGATCGTATGTCTTGAACGGCTCCTCCACCAGTCGTGATCTGTGGTCACCAAATCCACGTTGCTTCCCTGCCCCGCTCACACCCTGGCGAGAGACGTGGGCAACACGATGCATTAAAAAAAACATAAAACAACGCCTCTCTCACACAGTGTGTTGAAACCAGTCTGAATCCAATTTTGAAGGTACATTTACTGAGACATGGTGCTTAATGGGCCAACGCAAAGAAGGCCCCCCCCCATGGAACTCTTAGTCTATAAACTCACAGTTTTTACTAGCCAGTTGACGCTACATCGCGAAGCCTGGCATGGAAAGCCAGCCACCACCAGGTCTGCTTCAAGCTCACTCCCCTAAGGTCGGTATGTGACCACGTCATCGGCGATGGGGCACTGGGGAAGTACTCCATCACGCTGTCTTGCGCGCAGCACCGAAACACAGAAAGGATCCCGTTCGACCTGAAGGAAAAACACAGGGTGGGCAACAACAAACGTTGAACGCACAAGGTTGGCGCCATGCGAATTGGCGTTGCCCAACTGGCGTGCGCTCAATCTTCAATGCAAAAACGGAAATTCTTATCCACATTCAATTTGCTCACAACGACCGTTTTCAGCGAGCTCGCTTCTGTGGCGGTTCACAGGTTGATGCGGCGTCGTCCTTACACACCAGCGCAGCCACTGACACAGGGCCCTGCAGCGACAGCGCCACTGAAGACTCAACCCCATGAGCACAAACACCAAAGCTGTGAGGCCTTATCTATTGGGGCACGCGTCACGGAGCGCAGGTTGTCCAACTGGTCTTTGGTGCACTCGACCCACTGGTTTCCTTCCCATAGCCACCTCCAGCAATCAAATGACAAAAGGGCCATATGTGATTTATACATGAGCCGTTTACTTGCCATGGACTTGATACTTGGAGTAAGTGTTCGGCGTCCTCTCCCTCCATTTGCACCAAATTGGAGAACCACATAGGACCCTGCGGCCGCTCTTGGCTGAATCACGGAAATGAAGTACAACAACTGAAGGCCACGAAAACATTCCACAACCATGTCTACTAACTCTCTCGAAAATATCCAGGTGAAGTTCACAAAGCG